CTCTGCTGGGGCGGCTCTCAGCCGCTGACACTGTCAGTGACGGGAAGGGCTCTGCTGGGGCGGCTCTCAGCCACTGACACCGTCAGTGACGGGAAGGGCTCTGCTGGGGCAGCTCTCAGCCCTCCGACACTGTCAGTGATGGGAAGGGCTCTACTGGGGGTGCTGTCAGCCACTGACACTGTCAGTGATGGGAAGGGCTCTGCTGGGGCGGCTCTCAGCTGCTGACACTGTCAGTGATGGGAAGGGCTCTGCTGGGGCGGCTCTCAGCTGCCGACACTGTCAGTGATGGGAAGGGCTCTGCTGGGGGGCTCTCAGCCTCCAACAGTGTCAGTGATAGGAAGGGCTCTGCTTCAGGTCAGGGGAGCCGTGACAAGGTCATCTTCATCTTACACTGGAGTCAAGCGAAGCTAAATGTTAAACCAAATTGTGCTTTCCAATTTTTTTAAAAAAGGTACATACAAAATACTGAATACAAAATTCTCCCAACAAAAGCATCATGATTTGTTTTTGCATCTTGACACCAAAAAGAAATTCATACCTTCATACCTCTGCAGAGGGTCTGAAAAAATCAGAGGGTTTGAAAAAAAAAAAAAATTCAATGTATTTGATATTTTTCCTTCAATTATCAGCCAAAACCGCACCCAGTTTTTCCTAACAATTCAAATACAAATCTCATTTAGTTTGATAAAAATACATTAATAAGGTTTCATAATATGTGCAAAATTTGAAATAAGCTGAAATTTTCATTTATTCCTATGGGAAAATTACTTGCAAACATGGCAAGTATTTCATTATGTAACGTCTTCTAGAATTATTCCTTGCATAGTATGTTTTTGATTTTGTGGTTTTTTTTTTTTTTGGAGACAGGAGTCTCGCTCTGTCACCCAGGCTGGAGGGCAGTGGTGCGATCTCGGCTCACTGCAACCTTCGCCTTCCAGGTTGAAGTGATTCTCCTGCCTCAGCTTCCTGAGTCACTGGATTACAGGCGTCCACCACCACACCCAGCTAATTTTTGTATTTTTAGTAGAGACGGGGTTTCACCATGTTGGCCAGGCTGGCCTGCATATGTTAAAAATAATCCTGTCGTTTGCTGAGTTCCATGTCTGGTGGCATATAATTTGGAGACTATACTGAGGCTTAATGCTGACAAATACAGTTTAAAAATACACACAGCTAAATTCTAAACAAGTTATATAAGGGTCAGTGGGTCTGTTGGGAACTGTAAATATAATGAGGTCTGGCTCTAAGCACTTACATAAAGACATTTTACTTTCATTCTATAAGATTGGGCATTGACTTAGATGTTGTAAGTTATACAATTTATTTTGAGATGGGGTCTCACTCTGTTGCCCAGGCTGGAGTGCAGTGGTGCAGCCATGACTCACTGTAGCTTCGACCTCCCAGGCTCAAGTGATCCTCCCACCTCAGCCTCCTGAGTAGCTGGAAGTACAGGCATGTGTCACCATGCCTGGCTTTTTTTTTTTTTCAATTTTTGGGGGACAGGGTCTTGCTATGTTGCCCAGGCTGCTCTCAAACTCCTGGGCTCAAGTGATCCTCCTGCCTCGGCCTCCCAAAGTGCTGGGATTACAGGCGTGAGCCACCGTGCCCAGGCCATTACACAATTTTAAACCTGGTCAAGTGGTAATGTTCTGATGAATCTGTTTCTCTGCAAGAACAAGGAAGAAAACATTACTTTGACCAGGTACTCAACATGATTTGATCCAAAGCTACTTTTAGATGCTACATTTACCTGATAAAAAGAGGAATAACATTATGTCCAAATGGATGCATTGGTAAAGAAAATCCAGAACAGTTAACAACTACAGAAACAAAATACATAACTAGTATCTTCCACTTACTTTATTTACTTGTTTTACAAAGGCAGTGAACACCAGAATATATCACCAACAACTAAGAGGGGTTCAAAATGCAGGGGAAGGAAAACCCAACTAGCTGAAACTGGAAGAAAAGCTCCTGTGTGGTGTTGAGAGCCCTTGGGCCCTTTTCCTCCACCCATAATTGAGTATATAAAGGCACTAGTGGTGGAGCCAGATGGGGCGCGTTTTTTTTTTTTTTTTTTTTTGAGACGGAGTTTTGCTTTTGTTGCCCAGGCTGGGGTGCAATGGCACGATCTCGGCTCACTACAACCTCTGCCTCCTGGGTTCAAGTGATTCTCCTGCCTCAGCCTCCCGAGTAGCTGGGATTACAGGCACGAGCCACCACACCTTGCTAATTTTGTATTTCTAGTAGAGACAGGGTTTCTCCATGTTGGTCAGGCTGTTCTCAAACTCCCAACTTCAGGTGATCTGCCCACTTCAGCCTCCCAAAGTGCTGAGATTACAGGCATGAACCACCACACACAGCTAGGAAGTTGTTTTTAAGATGCCGTAAATGCTTTAATTCAGCCACAGAAACTGGCAGTTACCTGAAAGAAATATAAGAAACTAGGCTTTCCCGAGCTCGAAGTGTATGTGCTGTGACTGCAACGTGTCTGCAGGCCCAGGTGTCCGTGGAGCAGCGTGAGGGGGGTGAGGGGGGTGAGGAGGGTGAGGAGGGTGAGGAGGGTGAGGAGGGTGAGGAGGGTGAGGAGGGTGGGGAGGGAGGCTCAGTGAGACCAAAGCAGGCGATGCACAGCAGTGTGCTATCAGCTTAAGGATTTGGAACCTGTGTCTACAGGGCTTGTTTCTAATGTCTAGATAACAGGATGACATAGAACCATCTTCTATGATGGACTGGAGTTGAAGGGAGGCCTAGAAGACTGACCTTAAATACAACTGTATCTGTTTCACTGTTTTACTATGCAAAATTTGGGCCAGGCCCAGTGGCTCACTCCAGTAATCTCAGCACTTTGGAAGGCCGAGGCAGGAGGATCACTTGAGCCCAGGAGTTTCAGACCAGCCTGGGCAACACGGTGAGACCCCAACTCTTAAAAAAAAAAAAGACTATGCAAAATCTAGGCCTTCTATATTATTTTTGTTTTGTCTTTGACAGAATAGTCCAGCTCCTCATAATACAGCTTTTCATTTTAAATGTGGGTGAAAAAATGCAGTGGGGCCATTACCCTCCCCCACCAAACATACAAATATCTAGCTTTGAACAGTGGTTTCGGGCAGGCGCAGTGGCCACGCCTGTAATCCCAGCACTTTGGGAGGCCGAGGCGGGTGGATCACTTGCAGTCAGGAGTTTGAGACCAGTCTGGCCAGCATGGCAAAACCCCATCTCTACTAAAAATACAAAAAAAGTAGCTGGGCGTGGTGGTGGGCGCCTGTTGTCCCAGCTACTCGGGAGGCTGAGGCAAGAGAATCGCTTGAGCCCGGGAGGCGGAGGTTGCAGTGAGCCGAGATCGTGCCACTGCACTCCAGCCTGGTGACCGAACGGAACTCCTTCTCAAACAAAAACATGTGCAATGGTTGTTGAAAATGCAGATTCCTAGGCCTTACCCCAGACCTCCTGAATGTGAATCTGTATTTTAACAAACACTCCAGGAGATTCTAACGAACAACCAAGTTTAGAAACCAGCAGACCAGCTGTCTTGAGAGCAGGTAAAAACAACGGCACAGCATGCTTGTGCCTAACACAGAAGATGTGCTTTCTGGTGTGTGAAATGAGCCTGCTCTCCAGGAAAACACAGCCAGGTCAGGTGTCGGGTTTTCAGTAACGAAAGAAGTTTCATCTGGGAAAACCAATGGTGTCTTTGTAAACTAATTCAATGGAAATGGATATAACCTCCCCTAAAATGGAGAAATGATGCAAAATATTCCTGTTAGGAATCATGGAAACAGTCCCTTCTGAGAACACATAAGAGCTTTGTTTAAGCAGACAGCTGGCAGCAGCAATCACGTTGTCCTGTTCCTTGTTTTGGCCAGGCCAATGGCCCAAGGTCTTGGGAATCCTTAAACAGCAGATAACTGGTGCTGCTGTTGCTTGGGTGGGGCAAGTTCCAGGAGAGCCTGGACCGTCACTGCAACCTGGCTCAAACCTTTCTCTTCTAAAATGTGGAGAGGCAAACATAATTGCTCCTGAAATGGGACAACGCAACACACAAACAAAAAGAAAATCAATGAGTTTCACAGAACTGAAAGGAAAAAGCAAGCACTTCTCCCCTTCATAATAATCAATGAAGATAGGAAAATGTAGTACCTGGGACACCGACCTCAGTGGAAATCTGAGTGAGATATAGATGGTGACTGACGCTCACTGTCACTTTATTAATACAACTAAAAGTACATACAGATAATTTTCAAAATTGGGAAATTGACAAGTAGCGTATATTTATACATACAGCAGAGGAAAAACAGTACTGCAGTGTGAAAGCAACATCCTTTATTCTCTGATGAATAAAAGGCCAGTGCACATCTATAAAATAGGAAATGTGAAAAATAGAAAAACAATTCCACGCTACCAGATGGCTCAAGACTGAAAGATTTACACTTTAGCAGAAAGCACTTTGTAAGTTCCCTACCACAGGAATGCAAGATAGTTTGAAAACATAACTCAGCCTGCATGAGTTCTACACTATCTGCATGATAATCCTGACTATGAAAACCAGGGTTCCCAAGCCAGGCAGGGCAAGAAACTCAGTGTATCCTGAGCTCTTGAGATTTAGATGTGTTTGAGAAACTTCCCCCTAATTTGAATAATTCATGGAAGGGCCTGTCTGAATTAAAAATCTGAATTACAGAATTAAAAAGAAATAGTATTTGAAAATGTAAAGTATTTAATATCCTGGTATTTAACAGCCTGAATTATTCCAGGGAACTACTACCTAAGCTTTGGCAGGAATATGTTGATTACCAACATCTGTAAAGTGTTTACAATGTTTGCTTAAGGAAGTTAAGTAATACATCGAGTGTGTGCGCATCATTAATTTGTTAGGTTAATCCTTTCTTCTGAGAGAAAAAGGCAAATCTTAAGAACAGCACTTATCACTGGCTTTCTGTTAAGAGTAAATATTCAGAAAGAAAAGAGATTGCTCTTACAAAGAACAGAATATAGAATTCTGGTTCCACTAAAAAAAGATTACACATGTTTGTTAAAGAAGACAACTAGTTTTTTTTTTTTTTTTTTGCTTTTCATTGAGACGACATTACTACGAAATTTTACAAAACCAGTTACAATAAAATATATAACAAGTATTTATTTTTGAGGCAGTTACTGGTACTTGTGCTTACTTTTTATTTAATACTTATCTTGATAAAATGAGGTAACTGTAATCTTTTGATCTAATAAAACTAGCAACTTTGTAGAAATACTGAGTGCAACTGCACGTCTAGATAAATTATTTTTAAAATGAACCTGCTGAGCGTTTTGTTTTGCTGTTGGAAGAGACGTGCTTTCTCCAAGGCTGATCCCCTGATCTCTTCCTCTCAGTAGCGCCCTAGGACCTGTGTGCCTGGCGTTTACACTCAGAAGCCTGTGCTTTCTAGAGCACACTTACCTTCCAGCTGGGCTACAGGGAGTGCTGTGTGTTCTCAAGAGAATGTGCAATTACAACCCCTAAACCATGAGAGCCTGTGTGTGTTTTTTAACAGGTGTTCCAACTCTGAGACATCTTAAAAATAAAACCAACCCAACTCCCCAAAGTCTGAAAGGCACCTACTAACACAGAAAACTGCAGTTTTCATCATCACAGTGTTTAGTGTTTGAGCATTAACAGTGAACAGTCTTTTCACCTGTGAAAATAGCTGTCCCATTTCATATGGAAGAAAACCAAAGCAATAAGCCTCTCAGGCTGAATTCTACAACTGCATGTCGTGCTCCTCACAATCTCTCCTCCTACTTGAGTTCATTCTTTATCCCAATTTTGTTAACACAGTTCAGAAGTTTCCTGAATATTCAGAAACACCACTTATGAAATTAGAATCTAACCACAATTATAAAGTAGTTTCCAGCATTAATGTCTAGCAGCTAAATGCTAAGCATTCAGAAAGAACCAGACAGTATTCACTGCCTTGAGTACAGAACAGGGACTGCTGCCCTACTACTTCTCCTGCTACAGTTTCACTATTAAGAAGGTTAGAAATCACATAAATTCCCATTTTAAACAGAATGCTGGGAGTGAGTCTCAGTTACACATAACAAACACAGTCAATCTGGCCAGGTGCCCACCCTGAGAGGCCAGCTCCAGCCCATCTGCTCGTGTGCACCACGTGCAACGTATGGATTGGGCTCAGAATAGCAGTCTAGGAAATCCACGTGATCTTTAAACTGAACATTCTGACCAAACTAAAATTATTAAAATGACGGCCAATACCTTCCAAACGTCCAGACCGCAAATGCTCAGACGGACCTGTGCCTACCAAGGGGGGATTCAGGGTTTCCGGACACAGTTCAAAGCAGAAAGCTAAGTGACCGGGTCCTGCCAAAACCAGAAAAGGCACGATGATCTTCCTCATGAGCAGCTGCTGAAAAGGCTCAGTCACTCCACAATGTCAACACTTGTGCTGAGACATGGAAAAATGGCCAATGGGGGTTGTACTGTGTGACTTGGAAATAAAGCTCTACATGTCATATTCGAAGTACAAGCTCAGAATTGTATTAGTAAAAATGCTTCAGCGTTTACGGGAAGAGAAACAAGGCCGCAGGCCAGGAGAATGGGCGGATGGCCAGGAGAAAAAGATGCTGGTCTTTCACTCTTTGTCAGCAAAATGTCTGCTAATGCGACAAGTTCACGCCAGAGAACTTCATGCTAAGTTTTGTCTATAAAAGAAATTAGTATTTTGTACTAAGTGATGTCTATATAAGAAATCAACATTTTCTGTTTGGTATTGTGAAGGTGTGTGGTTTGTGGCTTATGTATAAAGAACTTTTTGTGTAGGAGTGACGGGCTGCACATCTGCAAAAAGGATTTGTCTCCTTTACCGGTGAGCTCTTTGAGGGCCAGCGGGGAGAAAAAGCACTTATATAAATAATTCTGAATGACAAACAAACCTCCTTTACCCAGCACAGGAATGAGGTGGAAAGTCACCGGAGTGCAATCTTTCAGCTAGAGGGGAAGAGCCAGTAATAAAGCATACAGAGAGTTAACATGACAGTACAGTAAAATGCCACAAAACCCAGAAGCTGGATAGAGAGACAGACAAAACTGGATTCTTCTGAGTGTGCCCCAAGAGAAAGTAGTGTTTCAACAGTTCTTTTAACGCTGAGGTTTAGCTGAAGGATGTCGGAAGGGGAACAAAGATTGTCCTGTCCAAAGTGTGAGCAGGAAAGGAAAACAGAAAAACAAAGTCAGTGGATCAGAAATGCAGATCTGAGTATAGAATTCAATATGATCATCTCAGTCATATTCACATATACACATCCTGTAACATTTTTACCTTGAGGAACAAAAATAAAACGCTGAAAACCCAAACTACAAAGAATCTTCTATATGCTCATCTTACTACTAAATAGCAGAATAAAATTTGCGAGTCGGTGACTAGTCTGAACATTACGAATACAATACACAGGCCGGGCGCGGTGGCTCACGCCTATAATCCCAGCACTTTGGAAGCCTGAGGTGGGCGGATTACGAGGTCAGGAGATCGAGACCATCCTGGCCAACACGGTGAAACCTCGTCTCTACTAAAAATACAAAAAGTGAGCTGGGCGTGGTGGCGGCGCCTGTAGTCCCAGCTACTCGGGAGGCTGAGGCAGGAGAATGGTGTGAACCCGGGAGGCGGAGCTTGCAGTGAGCTGAGATCCGGCCACTGCACTCCAGCCTGGGCCACAGAGCGAGACTCCATTAAAAAAAAAAAAAAACACCAATACCATACACAGAAGTGGATGTTGGTTTAGGGTCGTGTGAGGCCTGAGAGTAGTGAGGTGTGTGGGAAGCAACGTCTCTCCTGACTCATTCTCCTCTATTAAAAAAAAAGTAGGTCAGAAAGCAAGGACAAAAACTGCAGAGGCTGAGGTGAGGGACGTTTTCGGAGAAAGCCAGGTCCATCAAAAAGGTTCAAAGACTGAGGAAAGCCTCATGATCTGGGTGCAGTTTACTGCCTAGAAGCCAAACGCATTCAATGACTTGGCATTCCTCTAAAAATCAGGGGGTGTCTATTGTAACCAAGTCCAGCTCAAGAATGTGTTCGAAATGAACATAGAGCTGGTAAGGGCCTCAGAGATCATCCAAACCCTCCATTTTACAGATTGCAAAATTCACTAAATAAATACAAACATCAGTGGACTTGACAACAGGGAGACATCCTTTAACACATAACATAACAACTCTGGGACAACAGATACTGGACTCAGATATAAGTTTTTAATCACTCATTATGGTTTTTTTGAATGTAGCATATTTAATAAAAGCATAAAAATAAAGCAAATACCCATATGCCCAATGTCATCAGAGGTTTTTAATAATTGCCTTGTCCTTTAGTATTTCATTCATACTTTAACTTGTATAACACTTTAAAAGTTATACAGAGAAAGGAAATTATTTGTCTTTATATATCTCATCTGGGTATAGAATCTGACAAAATACTTATAATACTGTTTTCTGTTTTACATTTTCAAAAGTGATCATTATTACCTTCCCAATTTTCAAGTCACACAGAGCAAAATGGGGATGTTTAAGTGAAGGCCAGAATGACCAGAAGCACAGGAGGAAAAGGAAGAAGGGGAGGTAGAAGTTTCTTCTCTTCCTTTGGCAGTGGGACCTGAGAAGGCGAGCTTGAACCTATGAGTTTGTGCGTTTATTCATTTTCTTTCACTTTGTTCTAGACAAATGATTAATTTTTCAGCAGCAGTAGCAGCATACTAGGAACCCATCTAAAACTGGCAGTGGTTGTGGTGGGGACCTGGGTGGAGGGCGGAGGGCGGAAGGCGGAAGCGGAGAAGGAAGGGGCAGCCTGTGAGGAATGTCCACTTCCTCTTTGTGGAGGGAGAGGGAGGGAGGATGCCTCAAAACCTCAGTCTAACCACTCTGGAAAAAGACTCAGTCTTTTAAAACTGTATTATTTTTTTCTCTGTACTTGCCTTCCAACAGCACAGCTCTGGTAGGAACAGGGGCAAGCTGGCCCATAATAAACATGGTCACCCACGGCATACCAGTGGACAGGTACAATGACTGTAATCGCTGGTAAACAGTACTTTTAACAGGTTTTGACATTGGTTGGGTCAACATGACTTGTCTGAGCGGGGCCATATTCAGCACTCTCCTATCAATTTCGCAGTTCCCATTCTGCACCAACCCATGCCATACTCTCTTTATTGAAAGACTCTGGCAGGGAACTAGAGCAGACACTAGATGGTTGTGTAGCAGGAACCTCTTCAGGAAGCAGAAGGGAAGAACTGGAGGCTAATGTGCACCTATTAGAACAAACTTGTTTAAAAGAACGTATGTTGTTTCTTCAGAAGCCGTATTCAGTGCTCTCAAAATATTTAAAAAGGTCTGTTCTAAAAGAGGAGCCTTTATCAAACAACATAACATAAACATGAAAATTTTGCTTTGAATTTGTCCATAGGAATCAAAAAGGTCTTTGCTAACTACCACTTTATGTAAATTTCCATTCTTTTACAATTCAGTTTTTAAAAAGAAAAAACAGCAAAAGAAAAAAGTAAAAAATAAATAGTAGAATGATGATCTACCTTCATAAGAGAAAAACCACCCTGGGAATCCTGCTGGCTGATGCAGATGCTCTGTGGAGCTGGGCGCTCTCTCTTTCACTTTGGAACACGTGAAAGAGCTGAAAGAGAAGGTCACTCTTTGGACAAGTGACGCTGAGGCCTTTCTAACTCCTGGTTAGTTAGAAAGAGGTGTGGTGACATGCGTAGAGAATCACTGTCATGAAAGCTACAGGAACAGGATCTAAACTCTGAGAGAAATGGTGGAGCTGCTGCTGAGCCCCGGGGCCACCCCTGAGTTACTGAGACCTAATTAGAAGGTGATAGAAAAGAGTCATGTTTTCCTCCTTCATGCTATAGACAAAATGTTAACAAGACTTGTAATGGTCGTGGTTAATGAAAAAGTATCGCACGGCACCAAGTTGTTTATTTCTTTAAATTTGTCTTTATACCATGTAATATTCCTTGGTAGTATAATGCTTCGTTGGTTTACTATAATTGCTTTTTAAAGGGGTTATTGATTAAGAGTATATCAAGTTTACTTCCCTTAATCACATCTATAAATTTAACTATTGGTAATATTAAAGGGCAATAAAGTTATAACTGAGCTGGAGGCAACAAATCCTCACAGCAGGACAACAGCTCAGACAGCCTGTTTGCTGCAAGCTCCAAAGAACAAGCTTCCTGGAAGGAGCGATGGATCCAGTGAAGCCCATTCAGTCAGTCGTGCTCCCGTCATTCAGTTAGTCGTGCTCCTGTCATTCAGTTAGTCGTGCTCCTGTCATTCAGTTAGTCGTGCTCCCGTCATTCAGTTAGTCGTGCTCCCGTCATTCAGTCAGTCGTGCTCCCGTCATTCAGTCAGTCGTGCTCCCGTCATTCAGTCAGTCGTGCTCCCGTCATTCAGTTAGTCGTGCTGTTCTCGCGTTACTTAATCTGAACCACTGTCCTAAGGTTGTATATCAGGTGTTAGTTAACATTAGAAGAAATAAGTGAAGTATACAAAGGAACGCTAGGCTGTCTTTTCAACATTTCTGGAGTCTAAAACATTTTAAAAAGTATCAAAGCAAAGGTCAGAACACCGAGGCCAGCTGCAGCACTCTCCATCTGGGATAGACTGAGTTTTTGAAGGATGTATTTGGTTGTCAAATAGCAAGTGGGAAAGTTTAGGAAAATAGAGTAATTACTCTAAATTACTTATAATTATTTCAATTTATACATTTATAATTTCTTTGTGTGGTCCTTGGAAATAATTAAGGAAAACTGTTCAAAAGTATACTGACTCTTGTAACCCAAAGTCATGTTAATTAGGATCGACTTAGCTCAGAGCTAGTCCTGTAAGATTTTAGAGATTTGCATTTCTAAAATTTTAGCACAACCAAGTCTATTTAGGCAACATAAAAAATGATAAATTTATTACCTGAGGTACACCAATTTTTCTGCAAGCTTCTAGGAAATTCTCCACATTTCGCCTGCATTTCGCCATTGTTAATTTAGGCTGAAATGAGGAAAAGAAAATGTGTTACTGGAGAAGTTTTGTTTTTGGGACAGGGTCTCGCTCTGTCACCCAGTCTGGAGTGCAGTGGCGCAAGCTTGGCTCACTGTGTCCTTGACCTCTCGGGCTCAGGTGATCCTCCCACCTTAGCCTCCCAAGTAGCTGGCTATAGCTGCAAGCCGTCATACCTGGGTAACTTTTGTACAGACAGGGTTTCACCACATTGCCCAGGCTGGTCTTGAATTTCTGAGTTCAAGCAATCTGCCTGCCTCAGCCTCCCAAAGTGCTAGGATCAGAGGCATGAGCTACAGGCCCAGCCTGCTAGCAACATTAAGAAATATTTGCCAACTTTAAAAATACCCTTGGCAATCGCTTGGTAACTCTCAGTGCGCACAAGAACTGTTTCAACGCCAGATGCAGTGGCTCAGGCCTGTAATCCCAGTACTTTGGGAGGCCAAGGCGGGCGGATCACCTGAGGTTGGGAGTTTGAGACCAGTCTGACGAACATGGAGAGACCCCGTCTCTACCAATAATACAAAAATTAGCCGGGTGTGGAGGTGGGCACCTGTAATCCCAGCTACTCGGGAGGCTGAGGCACAAGAATTGCTTGAACCCGGGAACCCAGGAGGCAGAGGTTGTGGTGAGCCGAGATCGCGCCACTGCACTCCAGCCTGGGCAACAAGAGGGAAACTCCGTCTCAAAAAAAAAAAAAAAGAGAGAGAACTGTTGCAACCACTCAATTCTGCTAGGAGCTTGAAAGCAACTATAGACAATATGCAAACAAGAAAGTGTGGCTGGGTTCCAATGAAACTTTATTTACAACAATAAGTGCTGGCTTGTGGGCAGTAGCTTGTCACCTCACACTTTAGAAATTGGCTTTGATTTTGTAAGGCAAGTACTAAATAGAAAAACTTTGAAAGAATAAAAAAATTTTTTTTTTCCATTTTAAAACAATGTAACACTAAAGCAGCAGTCCTCAACCTTTTTGGCACCAGGGACGGGTTTCATGGAAGACGATTTTTCCATGGACAGGGGTGGAGTTGGGGATGGTTTCAGGATGATTCAAGCACATTACATTCATTGTGTATTTTATTTCTATTGTTACATTACAATATATAATGAAATAATCATACATAATGAAATCTACCATAATGTAGAGTCAGTGGGAGCCCTGGGTTGTTTACCTGTAACTACATAGTCCCATCTGGGGGTGACAGGAGACAGTGATAGATCATCGGGGATTAGATTCTCATAAGGGGCACGTGACCTAGATCCCTTCCTCGCGTGCACAGTTCACACCAGCCTTCATGCTCGGAGAATCTAACACTGCTGCTGATCTGACGGGAGGCAGAGCCCAGGCGGTGATGTGAGTAATGGGGAGAGGCTGTAAATACAGATGAAGCTTTGCTCACTGGCCCACTGCTCACCTCCTGCTGTGCGGCCCAGTTCCTAACAGGCCACAGACTGGTACCCATTTGTGGCCCAGGGGTTGGGGACCCCTGCACTAAAGAAAACTTGGAGGAACAGCCAAAAAAATTAATTACCCATAGTTCATCATGTAAATATAACTACAACACTTGATTCATTTCCTTTCAGTCTTTTTCTTTCTTTCTTTTTTTTGAGACAGAGTCTTGCTCTGTCACCCAGGCTGGAGTGCAGTGGCGCGATCTTGGCTCACTGGAAGCTCCATCTCTTGGACTCAAGTGATTCTCCTGCTTCAGCCTCCCAAGCAGCTGGGACTACAGGTGTGCACCACCACACACAGCTAATTTTTGTATTTTTAGTAGAGATGCAGTTTCACTATGTTGGCCAGGATGGTCTCAATCTCTTGACCTTGTGATCCGCCCACCTCGGCCTCCCAAAGTGCTGGGATTACAAGCGTGAGCCACTGCACCCGGCCCTTTCTTTTTTAGGGTCAGGGTCTCGCTCTGTTGCCCAGGTTGTTCTGCAGTGGCATGATCGTGGCTCACTGCAGCCTCAAACTCCTGGGCCCAGGGGATCCTCCTGCCACAGCCTCCTGAGTAGTAGGTGCACACCTAATTTTTTTAAGTTTTTTTGTAGAGACAGGGTCACTATATTGCCCAGGCTGGTCTTAAACTCCTGGCCACAAGTGATCCTCCTGCCTGTCTCCTTCTCAGCTTCAGCTTGATCCCACAGGGAGCTCACAAGTGTGAACCACATGACACTCCCTCCTTGAGGTAGGAGGGCTCAGCCCCATGCTTGTCAGTCATTGGCTATAGGCTAGGGTAAAAGCAAGGTGGCCTAGGACAGGTCCGTAAAATACATTGGGGGAAGAGTATATGACATCTGTAAGTTTTGGAATGTGTAGTTAAAATACACATACAAATATAGATACATAAAGCAAGTATGGCAAAATGCAAGCAATGTCAGAGCTAAGTGTAGACTTTAATAGTGTTCGTTGTATGATTCCTTCCACTTTTCTGAAGGTTGAAACTTTCTCATGATAAAAACGTGAGGAAAACAGAGGAGAGGTGTGTCAACCCAAAGCCTGTTCTTTTGTGGATTGCCATCTGATACTGATGTCCAGACCTGACCAGCAGTGCAGAGAACCTGCCAGTTATCTCGAATACGTTTTCTCCCTCACCTTCCACCTGAGGTTGGTCACAGATCATGGCAATTTTACCTCTGAACCATCTTCCCTTTCACTGCCCTATTAATCCAGGCTTGTTATCCTCCTGGCCTGGACTAATACAACAGCCTTTTAATTGGGCATCTTTCTTTTCTTTTTTCTTGAGACAGAGTCTTGCTCTGTCTTGCCCAGGCTGGAGTATAGTGCAGTGGCGTGCTAGCTCACTGCAGCCTCCGCCTCCCGGGTTCAAGTGATTCTCCTGCCTCAGCCTCCCGAATAGCTGCGATTACAGATGTGTGAACCACTCCTGGCTAATTTTGTATTTTTAGTAGAGATAGGGTTTCACCATGTTGGCCAGGCTGGTCTCGAACCCCTAACCTCAGGTGATCCACCAGCCTCGGGCTCCCAAAATGCTGGGATTACAGGCGTGAGCCACTGCACCCAGCCTCTTTTCCTTTTTCTTTTAAGAAACAAGATCTTGCTATAGCACCCAAGCTAGTCTCAAACTCCTGGGCTCATAGGATCCTCAGGCCTCAGACTCCCAAGTAGCTGGGACTACAGGCACGAGCCACTGAGCCTGGCTGGGGCATCTTTCTAGTGTACCACCTTTAATTTATCCATTTCTCACTTAGCACGAAATTCTTTTTTTTTTTTTTTTCTTTGAGACAGGGTCTTCTCTCTCACCCAGGCTGGAGTGCAGTGGCGCGATCACCACTCACTGCAGCCTCGAACTCCCAGGCTCAAGTGATCCTCCCACATCAGCCTCCTGAGTAGCTGGGACTATAGGCACGTGGCACCATGCCCAGCTAATTTTTGTATTTTTGATAGAGACGGGTTTTGCCATATCGTCCTGGCTGGTCTCAAACTCCTGGGCTCAAGCAATCCGTCTGCCTCGGCCTCCCAAAGTGCTAAGATTATAAGCATGAGCCACCGCACCCAGCCTAGATTCATCATTCTAAACTGCAATTATAATCATGGTATTCCCTCTTTAATTCAGTGTTCCCTCATTGTCTGTACTAGGGTAAACTTTCTTGACATGCTTCATAAGACCTTTGTACCACAGCCCCAGCTTACCTCTCTCGCCTTACCCCTTCCCATTTTTATCTACAACCCTGTGCATGATCCATTCTGAACAATTTACCAATTCCTTAAGTAAGCCATAACTTTCCTTAGCTTCTGAATCTAGAAATCCTATGCCCAGAAGGCCTCCTTCCCTCTCTGTACTGCTGGAAAATTCCTTCTTAAATTTCAAGAATTAGTTCAAATTTTGCCCATTCTGGGAAGGCTTCCCTGAACTCTCCAGGCGGGTTAAGTGGCCCGTTTTGGTCTCCCTGTAACACACATTGTACACGCCTTTCTCGGAACATTTATCACACTGCACACATGTCTGTTTCTTCTCCAGCAGAGGGGAGACCAGGAAGGTAGACACTGGACTCTTTGTATCTGTATCCTTAATATCCAGCACAGTGCTTAAGAAATGTCTGTCCACTGCGCTTAACAAATGATCTGATGAACAGCCAAGGCTTTTTAGCATTATCAACTTACTACGGCTGGTGAGGGAACGTGAATGCTTGGGACAGATCGAGGTCGCACATGATTAGCCAAATGGCAAAGAACAACACCATCAGTTAGAGCTGCTCCAAGATCACAAGGCAGAGACACTTTCAACCGGTACTCAATATGCTGAAAGAACAAAAACCACGTAATACAGTAACTGAAGAATGACTGACATATACATAAGGGAGTTACAATGAAATCTAATTAGAAATCAAGATAAAAAGGAAATAAGTACCACAATATCCATTTCATCCCTCTATCCTAAGTCTAACTTAAGGAGATCTAATATATATGAATGGCAGCCAGGCCATAGTGGTACAAAGTACAACAAAAATTCATTTACAACTTTCTGATTTAAAAAAAAAAACTAGATTCTCCTTCAATTCCAAAATAAAGTCAAGAGCCAATCACTCACTATAGGTGTAAGTGTGGTATTTATATTGTGTGCACACACATATAAATTATTAATCTGACGATATTTCTTTATAACATGAAGTAGAAAAAAAAGGAAAAACTTTAAATGAGTAGAGCTAGGAACTGAGCTTTATAGAATAAGCCATCTCATTTTTTAAGTAAATCGCTGAAAAGAATTTCCTTAATAGTAAAGTGTTTTACATTCATCACAAAACATGGCACACAATGGCACCTGTTGATTCCATTAAAAATTACAGCCGGGCACGGAAGCTCATGCCTGGAATCCCAGCACTTTGGGAGGTGAAGGTCAGTGGATCACCTGAGGTCAGGAGTTCAAGACCAGCCTGGCCAACATGGTGAAACTCCTTCTCTACTAAAAATACAAAAATTAGCTGGGTGCAGTGATGGGCACCTATAATCCCAGCTACTCAGGAGGCTGAGGCAGAAGAACTGCTGGAACCCAGGAAGCACAGGCTGCAGTGACCCAGGATCGCGCCACTGAACTCCAGCCTGGGTGACAGAGCAAAACTCCGTCTAAAAAAAATAAATAAATAAAAATGATCTGTCAAATCAAGACCTGATTACAGGATTATGGTCTACAGCAGTAACACTGAAAAAGTATAAATCAAAGGCAATGTACACACTTTACGCAGTTGATCTATTAATTCCAGCTCTTCTTCTCTCTGTCTTGAATTCTGTCTTGTTATGGAATCTGCAGAATCAGTGGTAGGTGCAGCAGATGGAAGAAGGGGTGAAGCATGACCTATAAAAATATTAATATGTAAGACAGAAAGGCAACTGGCAGTGCTAGGAAAACATTCAGATCTGCCTCATCACAGTTTTCCTGCAAGCACACTATATTGCTTCCTACTTTCCGGATTGACTTTTCAAAAGGGCTTTTACTATGGAGATTTTCAAATATACACAACAGAGAATAGTATAGAAAACTACATAATGTTCGTTACCCAGTTGACTCAACTACTTGTGTTTGATTACAGCCACTTAAAAATGTTTTTATTGAAAATTAATACACATACAGAAAAATAAACAAATCGTAAGCACAGTGCTCAATAAATGCTCCTCACCAAGTGAACACAATCAGGTTTATAAATGCAGTCTTACCCATCCCAGGGTCCCCTTCCGTGCTCCTTGCCCACAAGCACCCAAAGTGCTCAAAACCACATCCTGACTTCTAACACTCTGACTGGTTTGGTTCATTTTTGAACTTTGTATAAATTATGCTGTATTGTATGTGTTCTTTTGTTTCTGGCTTCCTTTGAACCATGGTATGTTTGTGAGATTTATCCATGTTGCTGTACACAGGAATTGGTTCATTTTCATTGCTTACATGGTATTCCGTTGTACAAATATACGACAATTCACTTATCCATTCTATTGATGGACATTCAGTTTCCGGCTCTTATGAATAATGCTACTATGAATATTTGTGTACGTTTCTGGCACACGTGTGTACATATTTCTCAAAAGTAAAACTGCTGGTCATAGGATACACAGTCATCCCTAAGTATCCAGGGGAAACCGGTTCCAGAAACTGCCCCTCACTCTCATAACAAACTTGGTGAATCCTCAAGTCACTCATATAAAATGTAGTATTGTTTGCAGACAAACTATGCATATCCTCCTTTATACTACACTTTAACTCATCTCTATAACTTACTTCATATAATGTAAATGCCAAACTGTTACTATATTTCATAATTTGTATTATTTCTTTATTGTGGCATTGTTTATTATTGTTGTCTTGTTTCCGAACTTTTCTGTCCATGACTGGTCGAATCCATAAATACAGCATCCGAGGGTACGGAGGCTGACTGTTAACAGTCTTCCATGCTTTCTTACACTCTTACCAGCAGTGCATCTGTAGTTTGACTTTTAAATCTTACTGCGAATGCATCTGTTGGTAACATTAAAGGTAAGTTGTGTTTTTTTGTGTTTTTTTGAGACAGGGTTTTACTTTGTCACCTAAGCCAGAGTGCAGTCGCGCAATCTTGACTCACTTCAGGCCTCAACCTCCTGGGCTCAATCCTTCCTCCCGCCTCAGTCCCCCAAGTAGCTGTGACTACAGGTCTGCACCACCATGCCTAATATATATATATATTTTTTTTTGAGATGGAGTCACACTCTGTTGCCCACGCTGGAGTGCAGTTGTGCAATCTCGGCTCACTGCAAGCTCCGCCTCCCAGCTTCATGCCATTCTCCTGCCTCAGCCTTCCGAGTAGCTGGGACTACAGGCACCCATCACCACGCCCAGCTAATTTTTTTTGTATTTTTAGTGGTGACGGGGTTTCACCGTGTTAGCCAGGATGGTCTCGATCTGACCTCGTGATCCGCCCGCCTTGGCCTCCCAAAGTGCTGGGATTACGGGCATGAGCCACCGCACCCAGCCAATTTTTTGGTTTTTTTTTAAGAGACAGGTTTTGCCATGTTGCACAGGCTGGTCTCGAACTCCTGAGCTCAAGTGATCCCACCTACCTCGACCTCCCAAAGTGCCAGGATTACACGCATGTGCCACCACGCCTCGCCTATTTTTAAATTTTTGTTGAGACGTAAGTTTCACACTGTCATCCAGGCTGGAGTGCAGTGGCGCAATCTCAGCTCACTACAACCTCCACCTGCTGGGTTCAAGAGACTCTCTGCCTCAGCCTCCCAAGTAGCTGGGATTACAGGCGCCTGCCACCATGCCTGGCCAGTTTTTTTGAGACATGCTCTTAACTCTGTCCCCCAGACTGGAGTATAGTGGCGCCATCTTGGCCCACTGCAACTTCTGGCTCCCAGGTTCAAGAGATTCTCCTGCCTCAGCCTCCTGAGTAGCTGGAATTACAGGCACCTGCTGCCACGCCCAGCTAATTTTTGTATCTTTTCAGTAGAGATGGGGTTTCACCATGCTGGCCAGGCTGGTCATGAACTGACTGATGTGATCTGCCCGCCTTGGCCTCCCAAAGCGCTGGGATTACAGGTGTGAGCCTGTAATCTTGATGTGTACCACATCTTGATGTGGTAAAGCCAATTTTTGTATTTTTAGTAGAGACAGGGTTTTGCCATGTTGGCCTCCTGACTCAAGTGATCTGCCTTCCTCAGCCTCCCAAAGCGCTGGGATTACAGGCATGAGCCACCACGCCTGACCTTATTTTTGTTTTGTTTTTTTTTAAGAGACACAGTCTTGCTCTGTTGGTCAAGCTGGAGAACAGTGGTGCTTTTAATTATAACTCACTGTAACCTTGAACTCCTGGACTCAAGCAATCCTCCCCACCAGCTCCCCAGGTAGCTGGGACCACAGGCACACACCACCATGACAAAAGTCGTTATTTTTTACTTAAAATGTTTGTTTCCACTCCCAGGTAACTTCTTTGGGACCAGGGAGAAATCTGTCATTATTAACTAAAAGAACATGAGATTTTAAGTAGATTTTTAAAAAATTAATTAAGAAAACAGCTTTTATCAATAGAAAAATGTGAATGAGTTCATTACCAAGACAAAGAACATTCTTTAAAGCCTTGAAACAGCATTTTATTTGTTCAAACACTCTATAACCTGCTTTTAGGTGTTACTAAGAAACTTTCTAATCCAAACAAATTCAGGTAAGATTTTCCTGCTTTAATATCAGTGACATCACAGACACATGCTTTTGTCAAGCTGAGAGTCTGGTGTAGAAGTTTAAAAGCATCCATTTAACAGCTAGCGTCATTGTGCAAACCTCCCCTCGCCCCTGGCTTTTCAAATCACTACCACCTACCTTTGCTGGCTTCTGCCCTGCCACCTGCTCGGAAAAGGAAGCTTTCAGGGCGCTGAGGCTGATTTCTCTGGATAGCAGCAGGAAAAGCATATGCGGAGGAATGATGAACTAAATCAGCATGAAAAGTAAAATGAGATTAAAGGAGATGAAAAGAAAATATAATAGCAGACATACAAGTTACAAAAGTAGCAAGTAAAAAATAAAATTAAACATGGCAAAGATATAAAATAATCCTATTTAATAATGAAAAGTCTGGTACAGAAAAGTAATCATGAAAGCAGGAGGCCTGTTTGTATGTATTTTACACTGTCACGTTATTTTTGGTGTATCAATACAGGCAGAATGAATGCTAACGTACTGAACAGTCTCCTGCAGACCTATGGCCCTGCTAGCTGTTGTTCACTTACTCATATCAAATGGCTGACGAGCTGAACAACCAATTTAATTTAAAAATGGGGCAAAAAAAACCCAGTGGTTTCCAATTCTGTATCTGATTTCTATCTCAGTCGCAGCTCTCTAACAAGTAATTTAGGAAAATCTTGGTAAAAAATTATAATCTTGGCAGGGTGCTGTGGCTGACATCTGTAATCCCAGCACTTTGGGAGGACAAGGCAGGAGGATCACCTTGAGCCCAGGAGCTTGAGATCACCCTGGTCAACATAGAAAGGCCTTGTCTCTATTTATGATTATTTTTTAAATAAAAAGAATAAAGAATTATAATCTTGGCGTGGTAAAGTGCACCTCTGCGTCTATTACCTGTTTCTGTTGTAGGTGAACTTAGAGTATTCGGTCTGTCATCACTACTCTGTGGAGAAACAGACATATATCAATAATTATCAATAATTGTTACTCGAGAAGAAATACGTTCTACTTTTATGGTAATTTTGAAATTATAAAAGACAAAAAACAGGTAACTCTCCTTCATGATTAAGTCTAGAGATGAGAATTTGGGCCAGGTATGGTGGCTCGTGCCTGTAATCCCAGTACTTTTGGAGGCTGAGGTGGGAGGATTACTTGAGAGCAGGAGACCAGCCGAGGCAACATAGCGAGACCCTGTCTCTACAAAACATTTAAAAAATGAGTCAGACCTGGTGGTGTGTTCCTGTAGAGGCTGAGGTGGGAGGATTATTTGAGCCCAGCAATTAAAGGCTGCAGTGAGCTATGACTGCGCCACTGCACTCCAGCCTGGGTGACAGAGGGAGACTCACTCTCTTTTTCTCTCTCTCTTTTTGAGACAGGGTCTCACTCTTGTCACCCAGGCTAGAGTGCAATGGCATGATCTCCTAGGCTCAGGTGATCCTTCTACCTCAGCCTCCCAAGTAGTTAGGAGCATATCACCATGCCCAGTTTTGTATTTTTTGTAGAGACAGGCTCTTGCCATGTTAGCCAGGTTAGTCTCAATCTCCTGAGCTCAAGTGATGAACCTGCCTCAGCCTCCCAAAGTGCTGGATTATAGACATGAGCTACCGTGCCTGGCCTGACCCCCTCTTTAAAAAAAAGAAAAAAAAAAAAAGAAGAAGAAGAAGAAGAAGAAAAAGAAATGAGGATTTGGTGAAATGAATTAATTCTGTATTTTTAAAAGCAAGATTTTATTTTATTTTATTTTATTTTGAGACGGAGTTTTGCTCTTATCGCCCAGGCTGGAGTGCAGCGGCACAATCTTGGCAAACCGCAACCTCTGCCTCTCGGGTTCAAGTGATTCTCCTGCCTCAGCCTCCCAAGTAGCTGGGATCACAGGCGCGCGCCACCATGCCTGGCTAATTTTTTTGTATTTTTAGTACAGATGGGGTTTTTCCATGTTAGTCAGGCTGTTCTAGAACTCCCGACCTCAGGTGATTCACCTGCCTCGGCCTCCCAAAATGCTGGGATTACAGGCATGAGCCACCACGCCCGGCTTTTTTTTTGAGATGGAGTTTCACTCTCACTGCCCAGGCTAGAGTGCGATGGAGCAATCTCGGCTCACCACAACCTCCGCCTCCCAGGTTCAAGTGATTCTCCTGCCTCAGCCTCCCAAGTAGCTGGGATTACAGGCATGTGCCCCACGCCCAGCTAATTTTGTAATTTTAGTAGAGACAGGGTTTCTCCATGTTGATCAGGCTGGTCTCAAACTCCTGATCTCAGGTGATCCACCTGCCTCGACCTCCTAAAGTGCTGGGATTATAGGCATAAGCCACCACACCCGGCCTAGTCGTGTTTATATAAAGACAGTCCATTATTTAACAAGCTCTTCCTAAGACTATGAAAAATGATCATCCTAAGACAGAAAATGTTACTGGGACATATATGAGAAAGAAAAAGCAACATTTTATTTTCTAATAGTATTTCTCCATAATAGTTTCTAAAGTACTTTTTTCTCTGGAGAATAAAATGTAATATTTTCAAAAAGTAATACAGTTCCCTAATTTCAGTTAGGAAAGAAGATGTTTAAGAGATAATAGATATATTTTCTACACTAGTATTTGAGTCCAAGACATTTTCAATTCATTGACCGAAAGAACTGTAAAAAGAAGGAAGAACTAGCTAAACAGTTACAAAGCTTACCTAAAGAAAGAGAAATGTAGTTAAGCTAATTTACAAAGAAATGTTGGTTGACTGGGTTAAAGATGTTGAAGACTTGGCAGGGGAGTACAATTAAGAAAAGCCAGAGGGCGCGATGGGTCACGCCTATAATCCCAATATTTTGGGAGCTGAGGTGGTCAGATCACGTGGTCAAGAGATCAAGACCGTTCTGGCCAACATGGTGAAACCCCGTCTCTACTAAAAATAAAAAAATTAGCTAGGCATGGTGGCGGGCACCTGTAGTCCCAGCTACTTGGGAGGAGAATCACTTGAACACGGAGGTGGAGGTTGCAGTGAGCCAAGATGGTGCATTCCAGCCTGGGCGACAGAGCAAAACTCTGTCTCAAAATAAACAAACAAACAAAAAGCTAGAATAACATCAACAGTTTTTTAGGTCTTGATATCTAATTGCCTTGAAATATAATCTAAATATATTATAACTTTATGATACAACTAAGGCACATTTCTGGACATAATGACCCTAAAACTAACACAAACATACACATCTGCTCCCATGCTTTCCCCACCATTGGCTTCAATATTTTCAGAACTCTTACATCGCTACTTAGAGTTGAGTCAGATACATTAATGATGACAAATAATTTTAACTGCTAAAAATAAATAAATAAATAAACCAAGGCCATCTATTGAGAAAATTCTTAAGACTCACCTGCAGACAATTTTCTGGTAACAATTCCTTACTTTGATATCACAGGTTGAGAACTAAGATTTAAACTGTGAGCTGCGTTCGTAAGGCAGAGCGTTCACATCTTAAGTGAAAAAGCCATGTTTGTCAGGGTTACAGATGCAAAGAAACTAAGTTCTGGGTGAGCTGCACTCGTAAGGCAGAGCGCTCACATCTTAGGTGAAAAAGCCATGTCTGTCAGGGTTACAGATGCCAGTAAACTAAGTTCTGGGTGAGCTGCGCTCGTGAGTAAGGCAGTGTGTTCACATCTTAAGTGAAAAAGACACGTTCATCGGGTTTATAGATGCGAGTAAACTAAGTTCTAGGTGTTGAGAAAAAATGGAAATTTAAATAAGAAATTTAATTCAAACAAGAGTAACAGAAACTGATAAAAGGAATGAACAGGTAAATGAGGCAAAAGCCAGATATCTTTATAAGGAAGTAAAAGACTATGTTTATTTTCAAGGGCTGTGAACAAGTAGAAAGTTGGTTAAACAAAGACATGTTCAAGGACCAATAACACAAAAACAGAAACATTCAAGGTAGAGATTATTCTAGGCATGGAGGAAAAAATATTTCCCAAAACTTAAAAAACACTTATTTATAGGACACAGACTGGAAATTTAAACGTATTAAGGAGTAAAAGGAGAAAGTTAATAGGCGACTTTATTAGATGAGAAAGAAGAGCTGAAACAAACAACGAACAACACTGAAGGGCAGCGAACGTTCTCTCCCTTCGGTTTGAAACAGCAACAGGCCAGGTGTAGTGACTCACACCTGTAATCCCAGCACTTTGGGAGGCAGAGGTGGGTGGATTGTCTGCAGTCAGGAGTTTGAAACCAGCCTGGCCAACATGGTAAAACCCCATCTCTACTAAAAATACAAAAATTAGCCAGGCGTGGTGGCGTGTGCCTGTAATCCCAGCTACCCGGGAGGCTGAGGTGAGAGAATCACGTGAAACTGGGAGGCGGAGGTTGCAGTGAGCCGAGATCTCACCACTGCACTCCAGCCTGAGTGACAGAGCAAGACTCCATCTCAAAGGAAAAAAAACCAAAAACAGCAACAAATAATACACAACTGGATATGATGAAAACAAAGCCAGAATAGAGGAGACCTGTAAAAATGGTTTCTGAAATGTATTTTTATTAAAGCTGTAAATCTAAGTGACTTGCATTCTAGGATACCAAAATAATTAGCATAAATCACTGTGAGGCCATTAACTACATTTGGGAACTCCTAGAAAACTGGAGAGCAAAAAAAGGTTAAGAAATAATCTCTCACTAGAGAATTTAGGCAACGGAAAGAAAACCCCAGAAACTGATACAAACTCAACTTTTACGCCTGGCTAAGCAATAAAAGAAATAAATTCATAAGTATAATGTATAACCGCTGTGAATGTAATACAGAAACTAAAAAATAAAGAATAAATCTTTTAAAATAATCATTTGACAGTACAGCAGGTCTGATAGAAAAGCTTACCTAAAGAAAGAGAAATGTAGTTAAGCTAATTTACAAAGAAATGTTGGTTGACTGGGTTAAAGATGTTGAAGACTTGGCAGGGGAGTACAATTAAGAAAAGCCAGAGGGCGCGATGGGTCACGCCTATAATCCCAATATTTTGGGAGCTGAGGTGGTCAGATCACGTGGTCAAGAGATCAAGACCGTTCTGGCCAACATGGTGAAACCCCGTCTCTACTAAAAATAAAAAAATTAGCTAGGCATGGTGGCGGGCACCTGTAGTCCCAGCTACTTGGGAGGAGAATCACTTGAACACGGAGGTGGAGGTTGCAGTGAGCCGAGATGGTGCATTCCAGCCTGGGCGACAGAGCAAAACTCTGTCTCAAAATAAACAAACAAACAAAAAGCTAGAATAACATCAACAGTTTTTTAGGTCTTGATATCTAATTGCCTTGAAATATAATCTAAATATATTATAACTTTATGATACAACTAAGGCACATTTCTGGACATAATGACCCTAAAACTAACACAAACATACACATCTGCTCCCATGCTTTCCCCACCATTGGCTTCAATATTTTCAGAACTCTTACATCGCTACTTAGAGTTGAGTCAGATACATTAATGATGACAAATAATTTTAACTGCTAAAAATAAATAAATAAATAAACCAAGGCCATCTATTGAGAAAATTCTTAAGACTCACCTGCAGACAATTTTCTGGTAACAATTCCTTACTTTGATATCACAGGTTGAGAACTAAGATTTAAACTGTGAGCTGCGTTCGTAAGGCAGAGCGTTCACATCTTAAGTGAAAAAGCCATGTTTGTCAGGGTTACAGATGCAAAGAAACTAAGTTCTGGGTGAGCTGCACTCGTAAGGCAGAGCGCTCACATCTTAGGTGAAAAAGCCATGTCTGTCAGGGTTACAGATGCCAGTAAACTAAGTTCTGGGTGAGCTGCGCTCGTGAGTAAGGCAGTGTGTTCACATCTTAAGTGAAAAAGACACGTTCATCGGGTTTATAGATGCGAGTAAACTAAGTTCTAGGTGTTGAGAAAAAATGGAAATTTAAATAAGAAATTTAATTCAAACAAGAGTAACAGAAACTGATAAAAGGAATGAACAGGTAAATGAGGCAAAAGCCAGATATCTTTATAAGGAAGTAAAAGACTATGTTTATTTTCAAGGGCTGTGAACAAGTAGAAAGTTGGTTAAACAAAGACATGTTCAAGGACCAATAACACAAAAACAGAAACATTCAAGGTAGAGATTATTCTAGGCATGGAGGAAAAAATATTTCCCAAAACTTAAAAAACACTTATTTATAGGACACAGACTGGAAATTTAAACGTATTAAGGAGTAAAAGGAGAAAGTTAATAGGCGACTTTATTAGATGAGAAAGAAGAGCTGAAACAAACAACGAACAACACTGAAGGGCAGCGAACGTTCTCTCCCTTCGGTTTGAAACAGCAACAGGCCAGGTGTAGTGACTCACACCTGTAATCCCAGCACTTTGGGAGGCAGAGGTGGGTGGATTGTCTGCAGTCAGGAGTTTGAAACCAGCCTGGCCAACATGGTAAAACCCCATCTCTACTAAAAATACAAAAATTAGCCAGGCGTGGTGGCGTGTGCCTGTAATCCCAGCTACCCGGGAGGCTGAGGTGAGAGAATCACGTGAAACTGGGAGGCGGAGGTTGCAGTGAGCCGAGATCTCACCACTGCACTCCAGCCTGAGTGACAGAGCAAGACTCCATCTCAAAGGAAAAAAAACCAAAAACAGCAACAAATAATACACAACTGGATATGATGAAAACAAAGCCAGAATAGAGGAGACCTGTAAAAATGGTTTCTGAAATGTATTTTTATTAAAGCTGTAAATCTAAGTGACTTGCATTCTAGGATACCAAAATAATTAGCATAAATCACTGTGAGGCCATTAACTACATTTGGGAACTCCTAGAAAACTGGAGAGCAAAAAAAGGTTAAGAAATAATCTCTCACTAGAGAATTTAGGCAACGGAAAGAAAACCCCAGAAACTGATACAAACTCAACTTTTACGCCTGGCTAAGCAATAAAAGAAATAAATTCATAAGTATAATGTATAACCGCTGTGAATGTAATACAGAAACTAAAAAATAAAGAATAAATCTTTTAAAATAATCATTTGACAGTACAGCAGGTCTGATAGAAAAAAAGACTTATCTAAAGTCTAATAAAGTTTTCTATGTAATCTCACATGACAGTCACCGTAGAACAAGACAGTGTGGTCTGTCTGGATCACACGGCTTTTGGCACAGTCAAAACAATTCTCAGTTATGACTCTGCATAAGCCACAGTGCCTGAAGGTATTCACGGCGTACAAGTTACCTTCTCTCCCATACAACTAGAATGGTGCTAGCTATGTACCTCCCTTGAGATAATTTGGAAAAAAAGTTTCTGAAACAGTTTTCTGTGTTGTTCCAATAAGGATCCCAGTTGAGAAAGGCCAGCAAAGGATTAAATATGGAAGAGAATTATAAAGATTTTCAGGAGGCATCCAGTATGCAGCGTATGTTCAATAATAACCAGAGAAGGTCTCTTAGATTTACAGTTGTTATAACGTTGAGGTTATTAGCCGGGCGTGGTGGCGGGCGCCTATAATCCCAGCTACTCAGGAGGTCGAGGCAGGACAATCGCTTTAACCCAGGAGGCAGAGGTTGTAGTGAGCCGAGATCGTGCCATTGCACTCTGACCAGGGCAACAAGAGCAAAACTCCGTCTCAAAAAAAAAAAAAAAATTGGGGTCAGCATTTAAAAAAACACGATGCAGACTAAACTGAGGGTTCCCAGAGGCTGGGAAGGGTAGCGGGAGGGTGGCAGGAGGAAATGGGGATAGTTAACGGGTCCAAAAAAAATAAAAAGAATAAGATCCAGCATTTGATAGTACAAAATGGTCATCATAGTCAATAATTTAATTGTACATTTAAAAATAACTAAAGGAGTATAATTGGATTGTTTGTAACACAAAGGATAAATGCTTGAGGTGATGGACAGCCCGTTTACCTGATGTAATTATTACGCATTGTATACCTATATCAAAATACCTCATGAACCCCATATACATACTTGCTATGTACCCACAAAAATTAAAAACTAAAAAAAAAAAAAAAAGGGCATGATACAAGAATTCGGTTTTAATGTTTTTAGAGACACAGTCTTGCACTGTCCCAGGCTGGGGTGCAGTGGTGTGATCGCAGCTACTGCAGCCTTGAATTCCTGGCCTCAACTGTAGTCCCCCCTCCTCAGGCTCCCAACTCTGGGATCACAGGTGTGAGCCAGTGTGCCTGGCTCAATGCAACAATTTGAAAGTATTCTGGTACATTAGACAAGTAAAAATATTCAAACACCAAAATTAAATTTTCAGGAAAAAATAAAGAATACAACATGAGGAAAATAAAGTGTCACTGAGAAGTTGAAGGCGGTTGGGCACAGTGGCTGACACCTAGTACTTTGGGAGGCTGAGGCAGGATGATCTCTTCAGCCCAGGAGTTTGAGGCCAGCTTGGGCAATACCATGAGACCTTGTCTCTACAAAAACTTAAAAAATTAGCCCGGTATGGTGGTGCACATCTGTATTCCCAGCTACTCAGGAGGCTAGGGTGGGAGGATCCAGCCTGGGAGACACAACAAGACCCTGTCTCAACACATAAAAGAGGTATAATTAAAACATTTGAGAATTACAGTGGATACTGGGCAAAATGAAGATCAAAAATTTAAAAATCGCCCTAAATGAGCAAGCTCTAATGAGGGATGTATTTCTAGTTGTGGACCATGAAGCCAGAATGGAGGGCAGAGAACTTGTGAAAATTCATTAAAGATTAACAGGCTGGGAAAGGCATGTAAAAGGATCTGAGTTTATTGAGGAAGAAGCTAAGGATGGCATCGTAATTGTTTTTAAATTCTTACATTAAAAAATTTGTATTTTGTGTAAAAAAAAAAAAAAAGGATTCTTACACTAAAAAATGCTAAATAACTAGAAAATCTCCACTCTGAAAAGAAACAAAGTATAAACCATAGCAGGACAGTTGTAAGTTAGACAAAGGACTTCTTGACAGTGAGAACTGTTCATCATTTTGTACATATCCAGTGACAACAAATAAGGAATTACCACTCCTAGAGGGCTTCAAAACATAAAACACTACAGGTTTTAACTTTTAGAGTTTAAATTTTTCCAGAAGGTGGAATGTATCATCTCTTACGACATTATTGTTGAAAAAAGCAGGGGGTTGCGATTTTTTTCTTATAGGGCCGGACTCTACATATTTTAGGCTTGCAGGTATATGATCTTGGTCACAATTATTCCACCTCAGCTGTTTACTATGCAAGCAGCCATAGGCAATGCATAAACACAAGGGATTGGTTATATAAAAATAAAGCTTTATTTAAAAAAACAAGTGGCCTAGGGGCCATAATTGGTTAACCCTATGGTAGGGGTTTTGGTGGTGATAGTGTTTTTGGACTCACATTATTTTGCATGCACATTAGATGACAGAGTTAATTCGATATTATATTATATGCTAACCAAAGTGAAATAACTCGCGACAAAAAACTTTTGATAAAAAAATCAGAATGACACATCAAACAGAATCTGAATACAAAGAATTAATATGAGCTCTGTGACTGTCTCTAGCATCGTAGAACTTTCAAACAATTTCAAGGGAAATCAACGTTAAACTCAAACAGTTTCATAAACAGGTATATTTATATGATCCTATATTTCAGATTGTTAGATCAATTCACTGAAAAATTCAAGGCCTTATATGTACCCCCTCCCCAAACTTCCTGGTGAATTACAATAACAAGAGATACCTTAAGAGGCGTGAAGGCAGAAGAATGAGGCAGGGGAGCAGCACAACCCACTTGATTCAAACCTGACAGCGACTGCATTTCAAATGAGAAAGAGAAGAAACAGAAGGCAGCACTGATATTAGCAACTGTCAGGCAGGCAGATCTGACTAGTGAAATGAGAAAAGGAAAGGTCACGGACAGTCTTTCCAATGGTTTACTAAGCTACTGACAGGCCAGAAAGAGAACACTTGGGGGACAAAAACCCATCAACACAGTTTTTCCACTTGCGTAATTCAGGATAGTCTCAGTACCTCATGCCACACTAATCAAGAAATGGGAGGCATGATTTATTAAAAATGATTTTATGCAGAAAAAAAACAGAACATCAACAATTTTAGCATAGTAGCCTTGAAACAAATGAGTCCTGTTCCTATGATGGGGGATTTTAACCAAGCAGAACTGGTATGAATAAAAACAATATTTTTTCAGCATTAATCCAAATTAGATATATTATAATGAGGATGTGAGGATTCTGCATCAGCCTGAAGGAGGAACCGGCATTTCATCTCTGCCTCTGTGAAACTCCCACTGACTGTAAGAGAGGAAGGTGGAATTCCCTTTTTCTTCGAATCCTTTATCTTTCACCAACCAACATACAGCTGGTTAGATATACTGGAGATACAGTTAGATTGTATATATATAATTATTGTCAATTAAAAAGAAAAAATTTTAAGGTATTTATTATATAGAATTTTGATTACAGGTAAGAGATGCTCAAAACATGACAATTTTTCTCCTTTGCCACACGGAGAGTGGAAATCAGAGAAGACAACACTGTCACAAAGGGCACTGGGTAAGGTTTTACCTATTAAAACAACAAAATGCCAAGAGCTTAAAAATAGTGAAGTCTTTATAAGTAACTTTTAAAAATTTAAACTAGGACAACAAATTTCTAAACCGTGAGATAAATGAACAAGAAAACAAATGGGTGTTTAGGAAAAGGTATGTATATGGTCAATAAAATAAATACCACTGTATTTTTAATGAGAATTAACATGTTTTTATTTGACAAAAGCAGCATGTTAACACACAATGTATTACATGTATCACAAAATCTATCTTAAGGCAGCAAATAGTGAAGATAAAAATATACCACAGAACACAACTGTGACAATGGTAACACACTGTGTATGCTTCTGGGGTTTAGATTGCCTGGGCCTACTTTTTAATCAGAGGTACTGGAACGACTGTCAATGTCAAATATGAAAAGGAAAACTAGGAGTGGATGAAGAAGAGGTAAAATGAGCCTCATGAGACCTGATACAGACGAAAGCAACAGGAGCTTGAGGGGTAGCCCGAAGAGAATGTCAGTGTAACTGATATTAGCTGTTATAAATCTTTATTTCAAATCGTATGTTTCAAGGTCTTTAGATCAAATTCAGCATTTACCTTAGGATATCATTCATCAGACCTTTTCATCATGAAACAATATAATAACCAGTAGATACATAGAATTTATGTGTTCATTCAGGAAATATTTACTGACCACCTACTATATCCCAGGAACGGTGGTAGGGATGGAGTAAATTAAGTATATTAAGACAAAATAAAATATCCTTGTGCTCATGAAGCTTATAGTCCAGTAGTCCAAAAGAAAAGAGATAATAAAAGAATAAACAAGCTGGGCACAGTGGCTCATGCCTGTAATCTCAGCACTTTGGGGAGGCTGGGGCAGGAGGATTGCTTGAGCCCTGGAGTTAGAGACCAGCCTGAGCAACACAGTGAGACCCTGACTCTACAAAAAATTAAAAAATTAGCCACGTGTGGCATGAGCACCTGTAGTCCCAGCTACTCAGGAGGCTGATGCTTCAAGGAACCATGTTCATGCCACTGCACTCCAGCCTGGGCAACAGAGGGAGACTCTGTCACAAAATAATTAAATAAATAAATAAAAATTTTTTAAAAAGTAAAATTAAAAATAAAATAAAAATAAAAAATAATAAACACCCAAATAAAAGTACCATGATTAAAAAAAAACTGCTGTGACAACAGTAACACACCAAGTATACTTCCTGGGCCTCCTTTTCATCAAATGTACTGGAGCTCCTGTCAGTTTATTTAACTGTCCAGCTGTGGGGCTGACGTAAGGGCAGTGGGCTGCAGAAAAGTCATGTTAAAGATGGGACACTCAAACAAATACCTGAGAGATGAACAGGAATTAATCAAGGGGTATATGCAGGGAGGAAAAGGCATTCTATGTAAAAGAAACAGCATTTGCAAAGGTCTGAGATGGGAAAGGGCTTATGATATTTGAAGAGTTGGAAAAATGCTGGTATAGCAAGAGCCCAGAGAGGAGACTGGAGATGGAGGCAGTAGACAGAGCACGAAGGAGCTTCGAGGCCACATTTAGACTCCGCTCGAAGCAACAGGAAGCCTTCTAAAGCATAGTTTTGATAATATGAGGTTTTATTTAATATATGACTCTTTTTGCACAGTGTTGGTTGGACATTATTTGGCATACAAAGAAATGTGAGATGTGCTTTTAAAGGTCATCATACTTAGAAGAAATTCCTTGCTTTTAAAGGCCATCTAATTTAGAGGATCAGATATGAATACTGGTAGCTAAAACATAAGGGAATGTGTTTTGACAAATGGCTGAAGGGAATTTCAAGTTACACACTAAGGGGATTTTGCTGTTGTTGTTTTTCTAAATTCCACTATTTCCTTGACAAAAGATCTCAGACTTATACCACTTATTACATGTGTTATTAACCCTTCAGTTTCCTAAATGGTTTCCAGCTACAGCCCGGTGTTGAATGCAGGTCCTCTCATCAGCCAGACAGATGTGGATTCCCAGCCTTGCACTTACTATCTATGCGACCTTGGACAAGCCACATTCTGGGCCTCAGAAATCATCTGTAAAAATGTGCTAAATTTAACTTTCACTCTTAAGGTTGCTGTGAGGAGCAAACGAGATAATTTTGGTAAGTGTTTGGATCATCGGAGGCTCTCAATATTTGTCTAATTTTTAACTTGTTATTCGCTTCTTAGGCCAATTCACTTACACTAAAACTCTAGAGTCTGATGACTGTATTCACCTATAAGACTGCCCAGTTAAAAGGTGTTTTATCCATCTCAAAGGAAATGAAGATTGTAGAATACACAGAAGTGTGAACAGACCATGGAAGTTGGTGTAACAGGAATGTCATGCTGAAGCATGCAGCTCATGCAGTAGTATGCAGCCTGGCAGCAGTCACTAGCACGAGACAGAACCGCTGTAGATACTAGACTTCTAAACCGCACTACTATGAAAAAAATAACATAAAACATGATGGGGAAAGAAATTCTATAAACGGGTAGAATTCTCTCGCAAGGCTAATAAAAGTAAGGCTTTAAATAAACTTTCCATCTTATACTCATTTTCAGCTGATGAAACAGGCAATAAAAGTAAACCAGTGTTAAACATGATCAGCAGTTAATGTTTCCTTAAGTTTAAAAAATGAACATGAAGGAATAATCTTGAGATGTAAGTATTTAAAACCAAAGTGAAGGATTTTCTGTAGCTGAAAATACATAATAAAATAGGATGTCAAATACACAGTTGTGCAATCAGTGTCATGGGCCACCTTAACATACAGATGACCCATGCGCCAAATTAATCATGAATAAAGTAAGTGCTCCTGGAATTAGACACATTTAAATCATGAATATTACGTTATGCCTCTGTCCCCAGCACACACACAAAGCCAATATGGTTCTCAATGCAAATGTTTGACTCTTGGTGGCCCTGACGAAGACATGAGCCGCAGGACTCTGACTCTGAAACACTGAGTCAGTCACAAATAGTCATGTGGGAAAATGGTTTAGTTCTCTATAAAGCATTTAGTAATGATGCTCATCATGTTTTATGGTATTTAGATATAGTTTCTGAATAAAAAGTACAAGAGCTATCCTTCAATCTCTAAACACAGAAACGTAAAACTCCATTTTGTGCGAAACTCTTACCACTAACAAGGCACTATCATCAGTGTGCTGAGACCTTCTGGATGGGAAGGGGCACTGGAGAGGTGAGAAAAATGAAGCAATGTCAAAAACAAACTACGCACACGTGTGACGTATTTCACGAATACACACACAAGGAAAGAGACATATTAAGACATACTTTTGAAGATGCTGACATAGAGGACCACATTCACAATCATCTGGAATTCACGCATTATAATAGTCAGTAAGCTGGTTCTGAGTACTGATTTTCTCCCAGAGTTTAAACAACTTCAAATCGGATCTTACTGCCTAAAACCTTCCAAAGCAAGGAGGGAGCAGAAAGCTGGAGAGAGACGTAACAATAACATAAAGAACCTGCAGTCATTTAGTGAGCCAGTGACAGACCAGTAGCCCAGGGGTCATAATTTCTAGTCTAAGTATCTCTTCATTTTCTTTCTCAAGCAAAATGAAAAGTACGATTACAATTTTTAGAACTGTTTATGTTCTTTTCCTGTGGAGCTTTAGTTTTCTTGAGAATGAATTACTTGAAAACAATCATCAAGAAGGAAATATTGGGTAAAAAAGAAAACATATATTAAATTTATCAAACTCTGGTTGTCAAAAATGTGTTAGAATTACTACCAGGTGAAGAAAACACAACTGAACAGGCTGGAGTCAATCTTTCAGGTATTATACAAATATATAATGTTCTAACACAAAAAAAACTAGAAGTAGTTCTATGATAAAATTTTTTAAAAACCTCTATAATGGACAACTGAAAACATTTCAAACAATACACTTTCCCTTACCAGAAACACTTGTGCTTTAAAAAACCTTTATAATGGACAACTGAAAGCATTTCAAACAATACACTTTCCCTTACTAGAAACTCTTGTGCTTTAAAAACACAGAAAATTGCTACTTGTAAAGCCCCAGGTGTTAGGTTTTCAAATAACTTATTTTATGAAAAGCAAAGTCAAAATTCACATGAAACAACGCTTTTATGCATTTTTCAAGGAGGTAATGATCATAAATTGAAAAAACTGGGTCAGGCGCAGTGGCTCACACCTGAAATTCCAGCACTTTGGGAGGCCAAGGCGGGAGGATTACAAGGTCAGGAGTTCGAGACCAGCCTGACCAACATGGTGAAACCCTGTCTCTACTGAAAATACAAAAATTAGCTGGGCATGGTGGTGTGCGCCTGTAATCTCAGCTACTCGGAGGCTGAGGCGGGAGAATCACTTGAACCCGGGAGGTGGAAGTTGCAGTGAGCCAATATCGCGCCACTGCACTCCAGCCTGGGTGACAGTGTGAGACTCCGTCTCAAAAAAAAGAAAAAGAAACGAACAAAAAAAAAAAAAAGAAAGAAAAAACTGGAAGGCTTTTAAAGGGAAAATGGTTAATGAGAAAGCCAACTACAATAAAAACATTTAGTAAAAGCTTCATTTTAACAGATCAAAATAGGTGTGTAGATTTTTCAAAGGTTAAGTGATTTATTTTCTGTTAATCTGTAACAAAAATGTACTATTTGATATTATAAAATAAGTGTTATCACTGATAACACTGAATCTGAAATACTATGTAAGAGTCTTTTTTTGTTCAGTAGCCGCTCCATTTACCTGTACCAGGTAAAGCTCCTAGGACTCTACACACCACGCTTCAAAAATGGAGGAGGGGGATGGTGCCTCTGGTGGGGGTCAGGGAGGGAAATATAATCTCTAGATAGATGTGTATAGCTGAAAAAAGCCTTGATCCATAGATTCTAATAAACTCCTTGGCTTGTATCACCTCCCTCATAAGCAGAATTTTGTGAGGGGGGAAAAAGAAACATTTCATTTGCATTGCAAAAATAATCAATTTCAAAGAAAAGGTGATTACATCAACTTACCTCACCATCTAGGAGGGGTTGCTGTTTTTGTGGACTTTGTGATGCTTTTTGCTATATAACCCCAAAACCCCCCAAAAAAGGAAGCTGGTTAGAGTCTGGAACACGGAAAATAAAAAATTACATTTACTAAAATAATCACTCACATTAATTTTTCTACCTCTTGTATATAGCATTTTTCTAGATTTACTAGTTAGAACATGTTTAGTTAGAAATTTTAAAAACTATACATATACCTACAGAAACACGTTTACAATCAGAATACTGACCTTCTCTCAGTGAACTTATTCTCTCCCTCTAATGGCTTCAGTATCACTCGAATGGTAATAACTTTAGCTAGAAGCAAATCTCAGGTTTGTGTTTTCAACTGCCTGTGGAAACTCTCTACTTGGAAACCCCACTCCACCTCGTATCTGACATATTCAAAAACAAACTCACAATGTCCCATACTAACTGGCTATTTTCTCCAATGTGTGATATCTAATCGTCTAATAATAACATGATAGCATTGCTGTGGTCCCTGCTTTACAACGTACTCTACCACGTCACTGTGTACACAGTATCTCAGTGATTCTTCTACTGTGTGAGATAAAACATCATCATCATATTCATTTAGAGATGAGAAAATCGAGGAGAGGCTATGCGGCACGTGCAAGGTCTCCAAGTTCATAAGTAGCACAACTGAGGTTTGCGCCTGTCTTCCACCTGCAGAGCCTGCGTTCTTTCCACAATGCGAGACCCTCATTTGAAACCATTCTTTTAGCCTCCAAACCTTGCCTTGGGAGCTTCTTTTCTTTCACCCTCTTCAGTGATTTATTCATCATCTCGCTTACAGGTAATTCAGCAAATCCATTTTATGATAGTAATAGGGGATATAGCATCTACCATACTAGTATTAAGCATTAAGTATATCCATAATAATTCTGAAATAGTTAATATTTCATAGTTAAATATCACACACAGGAGGAAGCTAAAGGCATAAAATGGCTCAGCAACTTTCTAAAAGTCAAGCACACAGCAAGTGGCAAAGCTGGACTCAAATTCAGAAATTTCTGAACTTAGGCTCTTGTCTCTGTGCAATACTGCCGACCCTTAGTACCCTCAGAAGCCATCTGGTTTTTATGCCTTATTTCACACCCTAGTCTAACTACTGCAGTTTCTCTCTTCTTTAGTTTCCTCTTTCTAGTCTCTTTCTTCCTAACCGATTCTAACACGAGTACATTCGTTTTTCAGAAGTCTCTCTCTTGTCTTTTTCCTGCTTTGAAACTCAGCATTCTCTTTTACTTAACAGATCAAGATCCAACACTAATCTGACATTTAATCAAGACTCTCTACAAGTCGACTATCTCTTACTAGCTGTGTGACTTCTGTAGAAGGCAAACTGAATGAGTTAATTTATGCAAAGCACATAGAACAGCATTTAGGATTCAGTGTTAACCATTATTACCGAGAGGCAGCATGGACTGTGCTCACAAAACAGGCTTTGGAGCCAACCTGCCTTGTTCTAATAATAGGATTTTAATCCTGCCACTTACTGAGTATTTAATCTTAGTAAACTGCTATTCTCTCTGAGCTTGTTCATAAAAAGAAAAAAATGGTACCTAAAGAGATTGCTGGAGAATTAAATGAGTAAATATATATAATGTACTTAAAATAGTGCCTGGTACATAATAAGCACTCAATAAGTTTTAAGTATTATCATCATCTCAATAATTCATTTTTCCCTAAGTCTTCAATACAAACTCTCTAGGCCAGCTGGTATTTCCTGCAAGTACCATTATTTTAAATCTACAGATCATACAAGGTCATTCCTAGTTCCCATCCTGTTTAGATTTCCTCAGCCTAGATCGAACCCCCCTTTACACCATCATCCAGTCTATTCTTCCTGGCTATACCCTACATACTCATTCTTCAGGGTCCCGTATCATTTCTTTTTGAGGTCAATTCTGGTGATACTTGTTCTCTAAGTCTTCTATTGTCTTGAATATAAAACAAGCACTTTTATTACAAGCTGTCTTATTTTCTGTTTTTTTCTGTGATAAGGTCTAAGCTGTGCCTGGTGGGCAGGGCTTGTATTTTATGCATCTTTATATTCCTTGTACAACCAGCATTCCATAAAGGTCTTTCAAGTCGAATGGACGAACAAAGTTAGGCTTTCAGAAGTCTAGGTTTGCCTCCTGATTATGAAAAGGAATTTACTATAAATGACTACATTGCTTAATTTTCCTACACCTGCAGCTTCCTCATCTATGAAACCTGAACACCTCCAAATGACCTAAGAAGAATAAACCAATGAAGTATTTTCATTAGTTTCAAAAGAACTATATAAAAAATTTTTATGCAGTAACAAACCAAGCAGGGATTTAAGGGAAAGAGAAATGGTTGGACAAATTAGGAGAAACAGTATGTGGGTATTAGATGACTTGCACAAAAAGACAATGACAGAGATAAAGGAGGCCAGGAGAACATGGCCATCAGCACATTAATGTTCTTACGAGGGGTGAAAAGGCACGAAAAGAAACATCTCAGGGCAGACGGAAGGTTCTGAGGGAGGGATTAAGAGAGGTACCTTTGTGAACTTCTGGTTGTAGGAATATTAATTTTAGTATTTTTGCTATTGGTCAAAAGATTTACCTACATTTTTTTTTTTTTTTTTTTGAGATGGAGTCTCACTCTGCCGACCAGGCTGGATAGAGTGCAGTGGTGGTGATCTCAGCTCAGCGCACTACAACCTCTGCCTCCTGGGCTCAGACAATTCTCCCACTTCGGCCTCCTGGTTAGCTAGGATTACAGGCATGCACCACCACGCCCAGCTAAATTTTTTTATTTCACTTGAGACAGGATTTTGCCATGTTGGCCAGGCTGGTCTCAAACTCCTGACCTCAGGTGATCCGCCCACTTTGGTCTCCCAAGTGCTGGGACTACAGGCATGAGCCACCATACCCCGCCAGATTTGCCTACATCTTGATAGAAAATAATAGACAAGGGAACTTGTTGGATGAAGAGGAATCAGGTAAGAAAGAGTTAAACATCATCACCAAGGGTCTGATACATTCAGAAAAAAATAATTTATCAGGTAAAACAGACATATGCATGGTACTTAAAGAAGATGGTCTCTAAAGTATGAAATACAGGAAAGTCTTTAGAGGACAAGAATAATTCATTTAATCATTCAACAAATATTTATTGACGATTACTATGAGCTAAAACCTGCTAAGGTCTAGGGATACAGTAGTAAGTAAAACAGACATGGTTCTTATCTTCATGGAGTTTACAGATAAATGATAGACAGATATTAAGTAAACAAAATTACAAACAATTATTTAATTATGAAGAAAAAAATGATTTCAGAACAAAAAGATAAGTAATACAGGTAAAATAAAATGTCATTGTTTCAGGCGCTACTATAGAGGCTGCAAAATATTAAGAAATATTAACAGGGTTGTTTAACTGAATGTGTGTGGAGAACAGAAAGGAACAAATCAAAGTTCCTGCAAAGGATAAAGCCTGTGAGGCTAGCAAACTTTTGTTATTTACTAAAGCAAGGAAGCTGGAGAGAGGTCTGAGTAACAGTTCACATTTGGAGGGCCTTAACTCATTATTTACTAAAGCACTATCAGTTTCATGTGACTGATCTTTACTATGACACCAGAAATTGAGGAAATGGCTGCTGGATAGTAAAGTGACATGTCCAATGATGGACTGCTAAATAAGAGGAAGAGATTACTGTTAGTAAGATAATCACTTCCATCGTCCTTATGCAGATAGACACAAGTAAAGTAAAAGAGACACTCTATCTAGTTAAGATTCCTTATAGAGAGAAAAATGGTTGACATTTTAATTGACAATAAAAACCAACAGGCTCGGCCAAACAAATAAGCACTTCACCTCTCAGCAGCTTGAACAGTGTCATCAAAGGACTCACTTTGACAAAGTCCAGGACAGCATCTCTCTGGATCTGCTTGGTCCTTATTTTCTCCTCTTCATACTGCAGGGCAGCGAGCTGGGCCTCTCTCCGAGTGCGCTCTACTAACTGCTCCCTTCTCCGATGAAGTTCCAGGTCTGTATGTGACAGCTGGACCCAAAGCGTTATTGTGCATATCAAAGTAAAAACAAGGATCACTTTACCAATATTCCCTGTCAATTCAGGGAACTACTGTTGACCCATGCAACTTTTGCTTTGAAGTCACCTAGCATTTCTTTACATGTGTTTATTGCCAATCTTTTCCCATCTTTGCACCGTTCTTGTATACATTAGGGTTGGTACAAAAGTAATTGTGGTTTCTGCCATTGAAAGTGATGGGAGAAACTGCAATTACTTTTGTACCAACCTAATACTATAAAGCTATCACGAAGGTAAAGATTTTCTATCTAGTGTCCAAAAACACTGTTAGCAAGTATCACGTACATATGTTATATTAACTGAGACAGCTGGTAATGCTTAAATATATCTGGCAATTAATGGCAATTTAAGTATTATAAAAGAAAAAAATAATCATCTTAGTTTAAAAAGCAAAACTAAATAAACATAACTACTAAAAATTACCTGATTGTGACTTGCTGATAGTGACAAGAGAGAAGATGGCTCAACTGGAACCCTGATCCAAAAAAGAAAACAGAAAAAAACTCTTCAATAAAAAGACAAACAGATGTATAAAAAACAAATGAAATTTTTATTGTAAATGTAGCTTTCTATTAATCAGCAGCAAACCGCCTAGTCAGCATTGAAGGAGTAGCTGCATTTTGTAAACCTACGCCCAAGTCATTAAGTGAAACCAGAGGAAAATCTGCCACCTCCAACTCACGTTTCATGTGGTATCACTATGTCAGCCAATAACAACAGTTAACTGAGATCACTTTTCAAACAGTATCATTTCTTTATAACATGAACAACTATTATCTTCGTTACCACCGTGATTAAAACAAGATACATGTAAACTGAGATCCTTTCACAAACACAGCCATTTTATCAACAGAAATCTAGAATACTACAGAACCTGGTAACTGTATTTATAAAGCACACCTGCTCTTATTTTCAATTGATGAAGTAATTTTAACACAGAAATAAAAATTCTGGTTTTTTTATTTTTAAGAAAAATACGAAACCCTTTTTTAATGCTTAAAAAAACAACAAAAAAGTACGACTTCCTCACTGTTATCAATGTTAATTCTTGTAGTTTACTATTTATCCTTTTCCTAAAACAGATTTCATTGTTCAAGTCTCTGTAACTCATCTTTGTGTCTGAAACTAAAACTGGCAAAAGTAGTGACTGTCTGACATTTAGGACCTGGCCTCTGAAACTATGATGACGATGAGCCTATCAGGCTGATCTAAAGGCACTGAAATCAGTGTGCTATTAGGGGAACAAAAACAAAATCCTGCCATCATTGCTCACTGCAGTCTTGACCTGCTGGGCTAAAGCCATCACACCCAGCTATTTTTAAAAAATTTTTTTTGTAGCAATGCCGGTCTTAGTATGTTGCCCAGACTGGTCTCAAACTCCTGCCCCTCAAGCCATCCTCCCATCTCAGCCTCCTAAAGTACTTGGACTACAGGTGTGTGAGCCACTGCGGCCAGCCTTTTTTTTTTTTTCTTTTTTTGAGACAGGGTCTCACTCTGTTGCCCAAGCTGGAGTGCAATGGCATGATCATGGCTCACTGCAGATTCGACCTCCTGGCCTCAAGTGATAATCTCGCCTCAGCCTTTCCAGTAGCTGGCCTACAGGTGTGTGTCAACCAACCCAGGCTTATTTCTGTAGTTTCTGTAGAGACGGGGCTTTGCTATGTTGCCCTCAAATTCCTGAGTTTTCAAGTGATCCACCCACTTGGGCCTCCCAGAGTGCTGGGATTACAGGTGTGGGCCACCGCACCCAGCCCTGATTACACATTTAGAGTAACAGGAATTAACTGCAACTTTCTCCCTGGATTGCTAATTTCACTGTTAAAATTTCCCATAGCTTTTACTGGCCATCTGTAGATGAACTGAACCAAAACACAGAAAGGACCAAATAAACCGTCTCAAGTCTGTTTATGTGCCCTAACCTGAACACCATACTTTAACAATGCTTATCAATCTTTGTTTTGTTTTGAGACAGAGTCTTGTCCCGTCGCCCAAGCTGGAGTGCAGTGGCCCGATCTCAGCTTACCACAACCTCCGCCTCCCAGGTTCAAGTGATTCTTCCACCTCAGCCTCCTGAGTAGCTCGGATTACAAACATGTGCCAGCACACCCGGCTAATTTTTGTATTTTTAGTAGAGACGGGGTTTCACCACGTTGGCGAGGCCGAATTTAATGAAATGCAGTCATTGAACGCCTGACCTCAGGTGATCCGCTTGCCTCAGCCTCCCAAAGTGCTGGGATTCCAGACGTGAGCCACCGTGCCCAGCTGCTTTTCAATCTTTTAATACATATCCTCTTTTTACATATGTTTCTTTTTTTCTTTTCTTTTCTTTTTTTTTTGAGACAGGGTCTCATCTCACTCTGTTGTCCAGGCTTGAATGCAGTGGTGCGATCTCAGTTCACTGAGGCCTCCACCTCCCAGAGTTAAGCTTCCTGAGAAGCTGGGACTACAGGTGTGCACCACCAGGCCCAGCTAAGTTTTGTATATTTTTGGTAGAGATGGGGTTTCGCCATGTTGCCCAGGCTGGTCTCGAACTCCTGGGCTCAAGCAGACCACCCACCTCGGCCTCCCAAAGTGCTGGGATTACGGGTACATATATTCATTTACCCTCTCTTTACAATGCTTCTTTAAAAAGCCAGTCAAACCCACTGTTTCCACTTTATCTCATTATTGTATTTTGTACCCAATCCAATCCGCATCCTGTCCTTACAATTTCACTAAAACTGTTCTTTCTTTCACCTCACAAGTTTGTCAGTGATCTTCACAACCCCAAATCTAACAGTTGTTTCTTAGTCCTCCTCTTATTAAACCTATCAGCAGGGCGGGGTGCGGTGGCTCACGCCTGTAATCCCAGCACTTTGGGAGGCTGAGATGCATGGATCATGAGGTCAGGAGATCGAGACCATCCTGGCTAACATGGTGAAACCCCAACTCTACTAAAAAAATACAAAAAATTGGCCAGGTGTGGTGGCGTGCACCTGTAGTCCCAGCTACTCAGAAGGCTGATGCAGGGGAATGGCTTGAACCTGGGAGGCGGAGGTTGCAGTGAGTCAAGATTGCGCCATTGCACTCCAGCCTGGCGACAGAGCAAGTCTCCGCCTGGAAAAAAAACCTATCAGCAGTAAGTGATGTTGTTCATTCCTCTCTATACTTCTTCAAACACTGTTTTCAAGGCCAGGCACAGTGGCTCATGCTTTTAATCCCAGCATTTTGGGAGGCCAAGGCGCGAGGATCTCTTGAGTCCAGGAGGTCAAGGCTGCTTGAGCTATGATGACACCACCGCACTCCAGCCTGGGTGACACAGACCGTGTCTTGAAAAAGCAAAAACAGCAGCACTGGTTTCATTTAGCCTCTGGGACACCACCCTCTTTCTCCTATCCCCATGACCACCCCTGCTCAGTTTGTTTTTCTGGTTGTTCAAGCCCTAATTCTTGCCACCTTACTCCAAACTCATAAATCTAACTGCTTACTTGATAATTCCAGTCGGATGTCTTGCATGTACCTGAAATAGACCTTAACCACAGCAGAACTCTCACCTCACATCCCAGATGTGTCCTGCTTTACTCAGGCTCCTGGGTGTTTCTTGAATACACCAAAAGCATGTTCCTACCTCAGAACCTCTACCTAGAATGTTTCCCCCCTAGACCGCCATAACGTTTGCTCTTTTTCAGGTTTCTACTGAAATATCATCACTGCATCTAACATGACTTTCACTCTGCCCTCACCCACCATCTCCTTCATCCTGCTTTGTTTTTCTTCAGAGCACCCAGCAGTACCTGAAATATGCTTGTTACACGTATTTGTCTATATCCACTAAAAAGTAACTCTAAAACACCAGGGATTTGGAACAGACAAAACCATTATATGCTGAAGAAATATTGCTTGAATGAATGACAGTAGCACCCTCCCCCAAAACAGCGTGGAATATTGAGACATAAAAAACAAAATGCAGGTAACACACATGTATCTCCTCTAAATCTTGAACTTACTTGAGTTAAGTAAACCAGACTTTCCTCTCTTCAGGCAGACTTTTTTTTTTTTTTTCTTTTGAGATGGAGTCTCGCTCTGTTTTCCAAGCTGGACTGCAGGGGCACAATCTGGGCTCACTGCAACCTCCACCTCCTGGGTTCAAGTAATTCTCCTGCCTCAGCCTCCCAAGTAGCTGGGACTACAGGCACCTGCCACCACACCGGCCAATTTTTTGTATTTTTAGTAGAGACGGAGTTTCACCATGTTGGCCAGGCTGGTCTGGAACTCCTGACCTCAGGTGATCCACCTGCCTTGGTCTCCCAAAGTGCTGGGATTACAGGCGTGAGCCACCGTGCCCAGCCAGTATAAGGCAGACTCTAAACTGCCTTCTCTGTTTTTCTTTATTTACAAAATCACATAATTACTGTGAGTAGCTTTTCTGGCTTTGTCTATATAACATGAAACAAAAAAACTGTCAGGTTTTATCTAAATGTTAATTCTATATTGCTTCTTATAGAAGTTATAACACACTTTACAGAACCTAGTCTGATATGATCATGTCTCCTGAACTAAAATGCTATTCAAATTATAAGTAGGACTCGTACTTTTTTTTTTTTTTTTTTTTTTTAAGACAGAGTCTTGCTGTCACCCAAGCTGGAGTGCAGTGGTACAATCTTGGCTCACTGCAACTTCCACCTCCAGGGTTCAAGCAATTCTCCTGCCTCAGCCTCCCGAGTAGCTAGGACTACAGGTGCAAGCTACCATACCCGGCTAATTTTTGTATTTTTAGTAGAGATGGGGTTTCACCATGTTGGCCAGGCTGGTCTGGAACTCCTGACCTCAGGTGATCTGCTGGCCTCGGACTCCCAAAGTGCTGGGATGACAGACGTGAGCCACTGAACCCAGCCTATAAAAAATTATTTTAACAATTTTTTTAAAACGTAATTTTTGCTAGTTTCCATTTCAAATTTACATAATCCATCTTGGCAAATACTATAAAACATTCACACTTTTTATGTATTACATCTCCATATGTTTATTATCTCCCAGTAGGGTAGACTCTATGTGGGTAGGGGATAGGGGAGTGGTAGGTGGGAAGAAATGTGTGTGGTGGATGAGGGTAGGGGAAGAGAATGGGAGAAAAAAAGGGGTAAGCAAGCTTTCCTTTTCGGCTCACTAGCAGAGGATTCCTCATGCTCACTCAATGTTTTTGAGTTGCTGTAACTGACAGACCACTGAGGCAGATTCTTTTTGATAACATGTTATTCAGATTAAAGACAAGTCTTGCTCGCCTGAGAGCTATCAGTCACTGAGAGGTGATTTTGTCTTTTTAGGTTCTAATTCAACATTCCACTTGAATGGTAGCTCCAAGACGGCAGGAATTTTGACTAAGTTCACAGCTACATCTGGAAAAGAACTTGGCACATAGTAGATATTTCACAAATACCTGCTAATTAAAAACATGAAGTATATATTGATCTTAGAGCCTAACTGGTTACTAGGATCAAG